TCCTCACATATTGGAGAATTCTCGACATGTGCTGTTGCAAAGGAACAGTATATCACGTCAGGCCATAGTGTTTTATCCAAAGCATGCTCCGATAACCTATCATATATACTTACTTTCCAGACAGACAGTTTCTTATCAAAATAAACGTCACCTCTTGATTATCCCATCCTTTGGAGTTTGGGTATTGGGTATTGTCTGTAACTATAATGCCCAACTGCACAAACATACATTGCGTTATTAATGATACTATTCACCTTGAAGTTATTAATTATAAGCTTTGTATTTTCTAAGTGTTCCAGCTTTACTCATTTTCTAACCGATATCGGCTCATGACGCAGCCTATCTTGGAACTAACCGTTCCCCTTATTTGCATTTGATAAGTCTCTCGTTTGTACATCAACAGTCGAGCTGTGGCCCATTGGTTTAAGCACTTGACTTTCAACCAGTGAGTCACAAGTTCGAATCCTTTTCCACTCCATCTATCCGAATTTGGGCAGCCAGATAATAATAAGTACCAATAGGCTAATTCATTTTCCACTATATAGAATTGTAAGTGATTGTTTACGTCTATAGAGGTCTCTTGGTTTCATATTTTTTCTTATGCCTCATGCGTAAATTCCCTTTTCGTCCTGGGTTCGAACCCTAGTGGGTGCGTACTGATGTAGAGTCCCTGGTTTTTAATGATTCTCTAACTGATGTGAGCTCATGACCGAACCTTTTTTTGTTGATGATGACGAAATGTAACACACTTAAAAAATATCTTCACGTGAAATGTGAAATACTTTGCCACCTGAAACCAATCTGGAAATGGTCGTCACTCAGCATAAACAACAAAATTTGGATTTTCAATAGAAACGTCAAGTCAGTTCTTCTGTACGGATCAGAAACTTGGCGAGTCACAAAGAATATTTCCAACAGCCTGTTGCAAACCTTTATCAACAGCTGTCTTCGTTCCATACTGAAGATCAGATGGCCGGAAAGAATCACCAACAAGAAACTATGGGAACAAACAAAACAAGAACCAATCGCCCAACAAATATGCAGGAGAAAGTGGCTGGCTGGCTGGATTCAACATAGAACTTGGCACCGAAGTGCACCAGTTCGAGTTGCCACGTTCCAAATAGCACACAAAGGTAGACAAGAAAATGAGTGAAGAGAATCAATACAGTTTTGACGAGTATTAGAGTGAAACAATGAGTAATGGTAGAAAGGAATATGAAAGATCACAGAGACTGAATACATCTGCGCCATTGATAACGATTTTGAGCCATGTCACCTATTGTCTCCAGCCTTCATTGATTCTTAGAGTCCCGAGGGCGGGCCCCAACCCGGAAGTCTGCATCTTCCTGCTGCCGTGTCACAGGGCAGAAGTGATAAATATGCTACTGAGACACACCAAACGAAAAGCAACGAATAAAAGCAGGCCGTGTGTGACCGGCCTCAAGCAGTTGTCCCCTGGGCTCTGCGGTCACGCAACCAACTTCCACGGTGTGGGCAGCCGGGAAGTAACAATCGCCCTCACAATCCGAGGAGAAAGTGGAGATGGATTGGACACTCGCTGAGGAGGCCTCTGGGTGAAATCGCGTGTCAGGCCATAGCTCGAGTAGAACCCGAAAGGGAAGCGGCGAGTGGGACGTCCAAGAGTGACACGGAGGAGATCGTGTGAAGAGGAGTTGAAACAGTATGGACTAACATGGATGCAGGTGGAAAATACAGCAGAAGACAGAAGCAAGTGGAGACGTACAGTTGAAGCCCTATGTTCCACTAGGAACCCAAGGGAATAATATTAATAATAATAATGTGCTCAGGTTTCTTTTCTCTCACATCCAGTGAAGGCAATACAATAATAATAAATAAACAATTTCAGTATTATATATTGATCAATTTTAAAACATGCATTGTTTGTATCTAGTCAGTTTATTTTTTGTATGCATATATATGTATACGGTGAAAGTGTTTTTATTTTGTGAAGAGAAGATGATGAAGTGCATTAAAACAAAACAAAACAAAAAACCAGGAATGGAGTGATTTGCTGATACTCCATAAATTTCTTCATGTGTATGCACATTTTTATACTTTCACAGTTCACATTGGTATCATTAGTTGTTTTTGTTGTGTAGTAGTATTCATTGTTCAACCGGTGAACATTGTTATATACCCTTCGATGATTCGTAGGCTGTACGTCATAAAAGCACACATAGAAAGAAATGGGCATGAGGAAAATTGATAAGGATTTAATAAATTTCAGAGCTCATTAGGCGTGGATACATCTGCGCTATCATTCAGAACGATTTAGACCCATTGTGGCGTGTGCTACTGTGATAAGACTTATCAGTAGTATGTAAAGAGACGTTCAACTGCATAAAAACATCAAATAGTGGGAAGATAGATTTGATGTCAGAGAAAGCAAAAGATATAGAGTTACGGAGATCCATAGGAGACGTAAGAAGAACACAGTATGAAGGATAGAAGTTGCACAACACGAAAGGTCTGTGCAAATGGTGCGTTGAAGATAAGGTGTACCTAATTTCGCTGTATAGAGATACCAAATTCCAAATAAACATTCCTTTACTAAATCTCTCGTCTTATACCGTTACACCATGACACCAATAATCCCCAATTGTTGGTTCTTGGTATTCAGAGGACCTCAGCTAGACAGTCTACACTTCACTAAATGTCTCAAACCACAACAGTTAAAGACTTCATAGATTGATACTAAGCTTTAGTTTGACCACCCCTGACGGTCAACGCTCTCTACCACTTAGAAAAGGGAGTGAAGTGGTAGAGCGCGTTGACCGCTTCACTTATTTGGGAAGTTGCATCAGCCAGTGCTAGTGGGTTGATCGTTGACGAAATCTCAGAATAGATACAGAAGGCTCGTTTGGCATATGTCAGTTTACGCCGTCTCTGGCGTATTCGTGATATCCGGCTGCCTATCGAGCAAAGGGCGGGTGTACTGCTCAGCAGTCCGCTCCGTCCTCCTTCATGGATGTGAGACCTGGCCACTGAGAGTGGAAGACATGAAAAGATTAGCTGTCTTTGGTCATAGGTGTCTGCGTTCTATCTCCCGCGTGAAGTGGTATGATAAGGTGAGCAATATTGAGGTTGGGCTTCGGTCGAGTGCTAGGTAAAGAGGGGAAATCGATAGACTGTGAAGTTACATCGACTGAGATGGTTAGGACATGTGTTACGTATGTCTATCCGTCACCTTCCTCGATGGGCAGTGTTAGCTGACATAGGGTCAGGTTGGAAAAGAGTAAGTGGTGGTCAAACGAAAACATGGCTTCATCAGTCAATGAAATCCACAACAGTTAGTTTAAGCCACTTAGGAAGATGTAGGCTTCTTGATTAGGGTCCACGGGATGGTAAATGCACCAATGAAGGGTGGAGACAACCGGTGATATGGCTCAAAATCGTTCTCAATGACTGGCGCAGATGCATCCGCTATTTGTGACTTATAATACCCAATAAAAATATATTGTTCTTCGTTATTACTATTCCTTTTGTCTCATATCCCTGTTTACTGTCTCTATTTTGCGTTTCTTTTTACTTTCTTCTCTTGCTTTGTGTGCTACATGGACTGTGGCCACTAGAACTACTGCATACTTGTGGAAAGTTCTACGTTGAAACCAGTCACTCAGTCAGTTGACCACCCCTTAGACTTTTCTCAACTAATTCTATGTCAGCTTATACTGATCGATGAGGAAGGCGGTGGCTTGGCATGTGTAATGTGTTTCTTAGCCATTTCAATCGGTGTAGCTTCACAATCTCATCGATTGATTTGCCCTCCTTACCTAGTTCCCTCCGCCTAAACTCGGTATTAGCCGTCATGGTATACCACTTAACCTGGGAGATGGAATGTAAATATCATCTGTGGCCAAAGACAGCTAGTCTCTTCAAGTCTTTCACTTTCATAATGTCCTTACTTCAGCCGTAGAGTAGGACAGCGCGAACTGCTGTTTAGTGTACACGTCCTGTGACCGATAGCCGGATATCACGTCTATACCAAACATGATGTAAGTTGGCAAATACCACTCGAGCCTTTTGTATCCACTCTGAGATGTCATAAACTATAAGATGTACAGATAAGACACTTTGGATAGGTTCCTTCTGAAAGTATTGACGACCGTTGAGATGTGGATGGTAGCATAATAAAAGAATTGTAACATAAATATCATATGTCAGCTAACAGTGTTCAACCCTGTCCGATAGCCTGCTGTGTTGACGTGGTGGTCCCGCTTGTATATTGCAAGAACCCAATGAGCTACGCTGGCTGGAATTTATGCTTCTACAGGTCCTATCAGTGCGCCGGTGGCATAGCGGTTAGGACGCTCGCCGACCATGCACATGGTCCGGGGTTCGATCCCCGGCCGACGCACTCCTTTACCCCACTAAGCCACAAATAATGCTGGTGAAGAGGAAAGGTTGGGCATGAGGCTAGCAACCCCATCCTGTAAAATTAACACTGCTACAGAAACTTCAAGCCACAAGCTTGAAGCCCTATGTTCCACTGGGGAACGTGAACGAAAAAAACAGGTCCTATCATGCCATTACCATTGCAGTGTAATTCTTTCACACTTTGTTTCAGGCGAAGTCGTGACTCTGGCGAATAGCGGTGTAACTAACACCGCAGTAAGGTGTTTTCCTCAGATGTGCATTGCACATCCAGAAGCTTTGTTGTCTCTCAGGAAAGAACTACCCTTGAGACTCTCGGCATTTCTAGATTCGGTCACGTATGAACTATTGGTGGGGTGTGTGTTCCGGAATAATAGGCTTTCATAGCTTCACTAGATGACTGAGGATTGTAAAAAAGCTGTCTGCAGTCTAAACAAATTGCATAGTTTCGTTACTCAGTATAATGTCTTGTTTTCTGTGTAAATTAATTTTGTTGTTGTTGTTGGTTGTATAAATATATGCTTTTCAATATTTTCAAACAGTTACACATTTTCTATGATTCCATGTTAGTTCATTTTTAAACTCTATTTTGTTTTCTCCTTTAGCTCTCAAATCATCGAAATATTGCCAGCTACTATGGTGCATTTATTAAGAAATCTTCTCCTCGAGATCATTTATGGGTAAGAAAGTTTATTATTGAATTGAATTGAGTGTTGATGGTGTTGGTGGTGATTAAGTGTGAAATATGGTCATTTGACCGGTGGTCAGGCTTTGAATCAACTGCTTCCAGATTGTTAGCTTGGAGCTACCTCTACCAAATAAGCTACAAAACTCAGCTGCTAACCCCAACCAGATGTCGATTAATTTTTCCAGTTACCTTGTGAATCACTGGCCTATAACCTTCTGTTTATTATTATTATTGTTTCCTTTAATTCCTAGAGGAACATAGGGCTTCAGCCGCGCGTCTCCATTGCGTTCGGTTCTCTGCTAGAGTCTTCACCTGGCTCCAAGTCTGCCCACATGCTTTCATCTCCTGTTTTCACATGACCTCCCCCATGTCACCCACCCTCGCACTGACGACCAAATCGCCGCTTCCCTTTCAGGTTCCACTCGAGCAGTGGCTTGTCTAGTGATGTCACTTGATGGTTTCCTCAGAGTATGGCCAATCCATCTCCATTTCTTCCTGCCTATTTGTTTCACAATCGATTCCTACTGGGATGGTTCGCTCCCAGAGATCTTTGTTGCTGATCCTTTCCGGCCATCTGATCTTGAGTATTGAGCGAAGACATCTGTTAATGAAGGTCTGTAGTTTGTTTGAGGTGCTCTTTATGACACGCTGGCCAAGTCTCTGATCCGTATAGTAGCACTGACTTCACATTGGAGTTGAAAATCCGGATCTTATCTTCGTTTTGATGCTGAGTAGGGCTGTTGACCTCCACACAGACTTGAGAGTAATGAAAGCTTGTCTTGCTTTTCCGATTCTTGCTTTGATATCGTCGTCAGTTCCACCTTCTGTTTAACATAATAATATTAAACGGAAGTCAGTCAGTTAGTTAGCTAAAACATATTTTCGCTGCTCTAAAGCACCCATAAATTCGATAAAGGAACAACATGTCTTCTCAGACAGATTTTCTACAACGATAGTCTTGACATCTATGGACATACGTATCCATCAACAGGGAGAGGCTGCATATCCCTCTACATCTCCAAGTTTTGTTGCTTCCTACGCGCCCGTTATCCTGACAGTACTGAAATACTCACTCTGAATGGAATTCGCAGCGTAATTCGCGTATTTGCTCTAGGCTCGCGTCATTTGTTGATCAGGGTCATCATTACAATGACCGTTCTCTCGGGTCGCTGTATGTCAGATTAACCGTTTCGGGATATTTGAGGGTTATATGCAGAACTTTGTAGAAGAATGCCTGAAGTGCTTTATCTATACGATGTTTTTGCTTTTCTCCTCATTGGCACTTAGGCTATCGACTTGCACACACACACACTGTCAGGATGCAGGCTCGAAGTCCTGTTTCACGTAATTCAGTCTGGGTAACTTGGGTGTAGTGTCGTTAGCCGTCATCCAATAAGTATGGCTTAATATATCTTGAAAGCGTATGAAACACATGCTCCTGATAATTTATTCCAAACACAATTAAGAGGTGAAGTATGGTTAACGTTATGGTTTATGCCTTCTCGAATATCGGGTAGGTAGATGCTTGTTTATTCCTCAAGTCATCGTTCTTCGCCTTAGAAAAATCCTGTTCAGGTAAATCGATATCATCATTTTTAACAATATTGGGGGGGGGGGGGGGAATACGCAAGACATACAGTTCGATTTATATCTTCACTACTCTTGGCACTCTTATTTATGCGTCGTCTACCTTGTTTTCACTCTATGAATCATTTCTCTCTCTCTCTGAGAGTGGGTGGGGGAGACGGAGAGAGAGAGTTTGTCACCCACCTACCTACCTCTATTACTCTAAACTCTAAGGTATTTTTTATCACTGAATTATATATTTCAACGTCTTGTCGCCAGTATTCATCCTACGTAGCTTTATTATATATATATATATATATATATATATATATATATATATTACCCTATTGTAGGGACCAAAACCTTTAACTTAATCAATATATATATGTATAGTTTGACTCATTATTTTTATGT